CAGGTGCTCACCAGCCCCATCACTGCTGCCACCACCAGTGGCTTCTGCGGGTGCTCTCCAGTCCTGTCCCCACCGCTGCTGCTGCTGCTGGTGGCTTCTGCAGGTGCTTGCCAGCCCCTTCCCCGCCAGCACCGCTGGGTTTTGTGGGTGCTCACCAGCCCTGTCCCCGCCACCAAAGCCACTTCTGGCTTTTTTAGATGCCCCCTCCACCTAGAATCAGGAGGAACCAGTCGCCCATGCATTTATGCATTATCCATCTTTATAGGCACTACACACTGCCACAGCTTTTTGGTTATCAAATGTTTTCTTTTCTGAACTACTAGTATTAGAATGACACGGAGAGTGTTCCTGCTAGTATTTGTCAATGACAAATTTATAAACAGAACACTTTATTATTACTATAAAGTTTGAAAAGGTCCAAAGCCACTCTGTTTGAAGGCAAGCAGACAAACAATGAAGCATAAATGCCATAGAATGATTAAATGTAAATTCTATAAATTTTTCACCCCCTTATTAACAGCGGCTTCTCTCTATTAGTATTCAATGGCATATTATGGTTAGGGCACTCTCCTAGAAAGAGCCCAGGTCTCCTATTTCCTGGGAAAGCACTGTAGCTACTAATCTGTTATAGGAATTGGGAGTCAGCACTTCATTCTGAGTTTCTGAGGAAAAGCAGCTGCAATTGTTATATTCAAAAGACCAGTTATAGCTACCACAGTGAAAAATATAGGCTTCCTCTGAGATGAAACTTTTGCTAGAAGACAATCTGCACCCTCAGCAGGACCATCTGTTTTCAGAATGGCTGCAAGGGTCATGCTCATTGGCTGCAAAATTGTCTGGGTCTAATATATAAGACCAGGCCTTTCATTTGGGCCTTGGCCATTCAACACTTCACAACCCGCAGCAGCTGTATCTATTCCCCTTTCGCCTGGCTTCTGGCACTGCCTGGACAGAGATCTTGCTTATTGACTAGACCTTTGACTTGCACCCTGGTTCTGACCCTTTTGTATAGCCTTGGCCCCTAGTCTGGATCCTCCCCTGGGTCAGGTACCAGTCTACTCTAGCGCTCCTCAAGATTGCCTGTGACCCAGTTGTTGAATTCTGCGAGATGATTGTGGTGGCAATCAACCTGCAGGCTACCTCAAAGATCCAGGATGCACAAAAGAGGGGAAGGGGACCAATAGGAAATTTCAGAATATGACAGCAGCAGGAAAAAATCCTCAGGGCTTAGTTGGAATGGTACAAAATGATACCAGGGAGAGAGGTAGCCTGGAGCAGGAGAGCAGGATGTTGAAGAGGGAACCAAACATCTGCTCATTGCTAGGCTCCTCCTTTTAAGTTTGTAAGCAGAGCAAACCACAAACTCTGCCTCAGTTTGAATATGTTTGGTGTTTGCTTTAAGAAGTTCAGGGAACTGTAGAGTCAACCCTTATGCCCTAAACCAAGTTATTTGAGTACCTAAATTTTTCCTACAGACAGCTTCCTTCATGATGAATGATGTTTTTAGTTTCTCATCTTAAATTTTCATACTGGAGTGTAGTGTTTGACACTGTTAAGCTGGTATTGTACGTCATCTCAGAGGCGGGTGTATTACAGTAATTGGTGCACTGTGTGTTATATGTACACCAGTGTGTGAGGTGTTTTCAGGGGCTTTGGGCTATTTAGCAATAGACAGTATTAGTGATGTGTGCATAGTTGTTTTATTCTGTTCTCTCATGTCAAACGCATTAGTTGAGCACTGTGTCAGTTAGTAACCTGTTCTGTGATCCTCCATGACCTAGTCATTATCCCCTGCCACCAATCCCTGAGATTCTTCTCATGTTTCTGATTATTAGCAGAAAATGTTAAATGTAAGTCAAATTTTACAAGTAAAGGAGCAAAATAAAAGTTCAGTATCAAATCCCATAGTTTTCATTGCAAGAGGTTGGTAATATACTGCATGAAGTACATTGTTTGGTAGTAATATGGAGCAACCAGACCTAAAAAGACGTTCTTAATTGAAGGTTATCGCCATCATAACTTAAATTACCAGGTGATATCAGAAAACTAAATTATATGAATACCGAGGATGAATTCTTGGTCCTACTCAAATTAATGACAACACTCCCATGGTCTTAGCAGAGCCAGTATTTCATGCAAAGGATATGTAAAACTTGTTTTTGCTAATAAAGGAATGATTGCCAATCATGTGGAAATGAATTAGTCTGTACTTTTTAGATTCATGATTTTGTTTTTATATTTGCACATAGCTAGTTTTATGATCAAAAAGAGATATTTTCCATTGTCACTTGTATAGATGTGGTACAGCAAAGTATGCAAGTAGTACAGACATTCCCAAACCAGTGGTCCATCTGGATCAGAATCATGTTTCTGACTGCAACCTGTCTAGTGTGCTTCTGAGGAATGTACAAGAAGCTATGTTGTAGACATCTGCGAAATAAGTGTCGTATTAAGGATAGTCCTTCCTAGCCACATCAGTGATTGTTTAACGTGCATCTGGAATTACCTGTTTTGACTCTGGATCCAGGTACAATTACTGCTTGTATTTGAAATAAAATAGTACCTAGAAGACCCAGCTGAGAATGAAGTCCCATTGTTTTGGTTTATAAGTATGAAGTAAGCAACAAATAGTACCTAAAGGACTTTACAGTTTATAAATAGATGAAGGGTTGGTGAAAGGAAGTATTGTCCCCATTTTTTACCAGCGGGGATGTGGACCACAAAGAGGCTAAGTTATGCCTAAAGAAATATGTATCATTGATAAAAATTGAGCCCTGGTCATATAATTGCTGCAAAACAACTTTCTTTTCACATTAATAATATAAAGGTCTGGTACTTGTTTGAATCTTATTAAACTCTTAATGTCAAAATTATTTTGTGTCAATAAGTTCCACAAATTTTATTATGAATTATTCAAAGAAAGTGTTTCCTTTTCTCAATTTTGAATCAGTTGCTATTCAATTTAATTAAAAGTTCCTTTGTTCTTCTATTAGGAGAGAGGGAGGTGTCCTTTGGCCTTCTCATTAGCCTTTGATTTAATAGATTATTTTATATGCTTATATCCTGTTTCTTTATTAATTTATTCTCTGAATAAATTTGTGGTGTCTTTCTGTACAAAGTTCTTATGTATCAAATCATGTTGTTAACAATCTTTTGAACTCTTATTTAAGCCTGTTTTATCTTTCTTGGGAAAAGTGAGCAGAAATGAACACAGTTCAGTCATAATCAAGGTCCCATATTTTTTTCATTGGATGGACAGAGTTTCTTAGGAATTTTACGTGTTGGGTTTTCCATTCTGATCAGGCTGCTGTTGGTGATACTGCTAATGTTGCTACTTTTCTTTCCTAGTGACGCTTCTTTATGTTCTGGAATTTGGTTTAAACCAGCAACAAAAAAGCTTTCAACAAACCATTTTTAATGTAGGTTAGTTCTAAGAAACAAAAAAAAGAGGATTGTTTGATTGCAGTAATAACTAGTTAATTTGTCAGAAACAATGGACTTTGGGCATTAGTAATTTAGGAACAATGACGTTTGCTCAGGTATCTGGGAGATGTTATAAAGTCTAGAGACTGTGGGATGTATGTATAGTAGGAACAAATAAAGAGGTCATTAATTATGTCTATATATGAAAGAATTCTATTAGTTTAAGTGAAATCTGAAATAGCCCAGCAATTGCTTTTTACAGGTCATTTTGCAGTGTTGCAATATGGAATCAAATCCTGTCTGCCACTCATGGTAAGCCAATAGAGTAACACTGTACAAATTCAATGCTGTGGACATATTTAATTTAGCTGAAAGATATAGTGTAATGTATTTTATGTAGCTGCAGAATTACACATAGATGGTCTTCTCTTCATCCAACATGTTAACAATGATTGAAAATCCATAATCAAAGTATTTTAATAGTTCACTGTCAGAGTAGGAGAACATATCAAGTATGATGGTCATGTTGAAGTCTGGTATTATTCAAAATTGTCATTAAAGACTTGCATAAAAACTGCAGATGACGCCACACTGCAAACCCTTTGGAGAACAGGATTAAAATTCAAAATTATCTTGGTAAGTGGCAGAAAAGATTCATAATCAATAAGATTAAATTAATTAAAGACAAGTACAGTATTCTATACTGTGGGAGAAACAAGTGAATACTTAAATACAAAATGGGAAATACTTGACAAAGAATCAGTACTGGAGAAAAAGATTTGGGGATTGTAGTGGGTCACAAACTGAATATGCATCAACTGTGGGATACTGTTGCAAAAAAGCAATCTCTTTCAGGGATGCATTAACAGGAGTGTCATATGTAAGTAATGGAAAAGAAATATTCTTATCTACTGGTGAGGTCTCAGCTTGGAGTACAGTTTAAGAAAGAGGAGAGAGTCCAGATGTAATCAACAAGAGTGATAAAAGTTTAAAAATCATGGCTTGCAAGGAAAGGTTGAAAGAACTGGGGCTTTTTGGTCTTGAAAAAGGAAAACTAATAGGGGTGAACGGGAAGCATGATAATTGTGTTTAAGTTTGTGAAAGGTTATCACAAAGAGTATGGTGATCAATTGCTTTCCATGTCTGCTGGAAGTAGAGCAAGAAGCAATTGGCTTAAGTTGTTGTATGGGAAAATGAGGTTGGATAGTAGGTAATTTTTTCTAACACTAAGAATAATTGTAGATTGGAACAGACTGTGTAGGAAGATTATGGGATCACAATCACTCAAAGCTTTTAAGAACAAGCTAGACAAACATCCATCATGGATGTTTAATCCTGCATCAGAGGAAGAGGATGAAATATCTGGCTTCTTGAAATTAATTCTAGAACTTCATTTTTGTGTCTTCTTTGCGTGTTTTGCTCTTTCAACCATGAGCTGACTCAGGTCATGAAAAAAAACAATGACCTTCAGAGCAAGTGTGAACTGTGTGTTAAATATATAATAGCAATTAAATTGTCTTTGGCATATATTGACTATCACCAACTGAACAGACCCTCCCTTTTTCTTCCTCCAACAGTCTCCAATTGCCCACAGCTACCCAGACATGGAAACTGGACCCTTGTTGCTAAACAACATGAAGGCTGATACCCCAGAGGATTCATTATGTACAGACGATTTCCAAACACAAACTGAGCCAGTGGACTTATCAATAAACAAAGCCAGGTCATCCCCTACAGCAGCTTCATCTTCACCAGTTTCCATGACAGCATCAGCTTCCTCTCCTTCTTCTACTTCAACTTCATCTAGTCGGCCAGCTTCATCCCCTACAGTAATAACATCAGTATCTTCAGCGGCATCTGTACCATCAGTATTAACTTCAGGTCCTCTCGTGGCCCCTGCATCTAGTGTTAGTAGCCAGCAGTTTTTGCACATAATCCATCCAGTACCACCCTCAAGCCCCATGAACTTACAGTCCAACAAAATGAGTCATGTGCACCGTATTCCAGTTGTGGTGCAGTCGGTACCTGTTGTCTACACAGCTGTGAGATCACCTGGGAATATGAACAATACCATAGTAGTACCACTGTTGGAGGATGGGAGAAGTCATGTCAAAGGTAAGAGCTTTTCTATCTCAAGCTTCTGTGGCATCAATGTAATATAGGCAGCATACAAAAACATTGTAACACTAATTGCTTTATAAAACTTCATTTGGTTAAATTTATTTTGTCCAAAGTTTATAAAAAGCTTCAATCTAGAAAACAACCACATTCACCCCGGTTCAATTTTACTGGTGTCAGTAGGAAAATGAGTATGAAAGAACTGAAGACTTGTGAGAGTCAACGGTGAGAGCAAGATATATTAGGAACTGGGAAAGCAGAAATGGGCAGAGATGATTATATGACATCTTGGATGGAAGAAGTCTATACAGGCATACCTCGGAGATATTGCGGGTTCGGTTCCAGACCACCGCAATAAAGCGAATATCGCAATAAAGCGAGTCACACGAATTTTTTGGTTTCCCAGTGCATATAAAAGTTATGTTTACACTATACTGTAGTCTATTAAGTGTGCAATAGCATTATGTCTAAAAAAACAATGTACATACCTTAATTAAAAAATACTTTATTGCTAAAAAATGCTAACCATCATCTGAGCCTTCAGCGAGTCGTAATCTTTTTGCTGGTGGAGGGTCTTGCCTCAATTTGTAAAAAACGCAATATCTGCAAAGCGCAATAAAGCGAAGCGCAATAAAACGAGGTATGCCTGTACTAAAAATAGATGTGCCTAGAAAGTATGGAATTGGTGCTTTATGAGACAGATATTAGCTGCCATGGGGGAAACAAAAGGTAGAGACTGGCAGAGGCTAATTTCAAAGATTGTTGAATTTGGATCATTAGAGCATGGGCAAATCTACCCCAAATCTGACATGTTGCTTGAAGATGAAGCAGAAGGTATTAATACATAACCTTACTTACAGGCCTTATAAGACCACATGGAATTTATTGGTATGTTTCATACTATCCCTTGTATGCCTTCTTGCTTAATTAAGAGATCCTTTTAGCCAAAAGGTTTTTTTCCTTTGACACACTTGTAACATCATAATATACAGTAACTGTATATTTTTACATTTCACGATCATGCTGGGCTTTTACGCTTTTTAATAGCATAATTTTGTTCATAAATTATTCCCTCATTCCCCCGTGCAAAAAGGACACTTATCTTATGCGTTCAGAATACAGAACACTGAACCCATAGTGAAACTGGTTTCTGTTTCAAGGCTGGAAATTATGATGTTTTAAGACATTTTATTACACTTCATGAAATTACACCATTTTAGAGCACTTTGCCATTACTTAAAACATGACAAATGAAACCAGTCTAGTGCACATTGATAAATAACTCTTCTTGATTTGTTGTTTAGTTTCATATTTTGTACTGGAACTGAGCTACACCTGATTTTCAGATCAGACAAAAAATATATATCTGATGTTCATAGATATTTACTTTCTGAAAAGGGATGGTGAGTAAATGCATCATCTGTAGGCAGCGCTCTCTTGAGTTCATGAAAATGGAAACTCGCTACCTCCTTTTCATCAGAAGCTAGTGTGCTGTAGCAATTTCCACCCACCAACTTGAGATGCAGAGATGCTGAGCTACGCTGACAACCCTCTCTATTATGCTATTGTTGGCAGAGATCGTTAACTAGCACTGCCGAATCTCTTGACTTATGGCTAAAGAAAAAAGAGGGATTAAGCCATCTTTTAATTTTTTTTCATCAGCTTCACCCTTTTTGCTATCTCTAATACCTCTGATAGTAATGTACAGGTTAATTTGCATAATTATAATAAAAGGATAATGGCAGTAATCTACTCTAGGAAGTCATCTTTTGTTAGCTGTTTCTGGAGTGTGTTTTCCTTCTTTATTGTGTAAAACAATACAAATAAGAAAAGGAACTGATTTCACATAAATCAAAAGATAAACTTAATTTCATATATACATCTCATTGTTTCTATTCAGCGGACACAATGCCATTTAGCCTTTTGGGCTAAAATATGAAATAAAGATGATAAAAGGGCATTGCTTTGAAAATTGAAGTTGTGCTAATCCTCTACCCAAATGAATAAGAAATGCAGTTTCAGAATTGTCTAATGTGTCTACCTTTAACTTGCATCTAAAGGTTGATCCTGTTCATTAAGATAAAAATAAATCATTGGGGACAAATTCTGCCCTCAATTAACATGAGCTACTGTCACTGGCAAAACTGGTCTCCTAATCTGTTCATTCTTTCTTCTTGGGGTCTATTTAAGTTAATGCTGGCAATATTAGACCCTATTTGGGCAAAAAAGGTTAAGCATATGCTTTATTTTAATTCTTTGCCCATGTTCTATTGACTTAGGTGTTTTCCTGAAGAGATACTTTTCTTTATCATTGCCACAGCTTTTATCTAAGCACATTCTGCCTTCCTCTTCCTTTTTTTTTTTTTAAATTTGCTTCCAGTCAACTATATCTGCTTTGATTACAAAAACATTTTGATCTTCATATAGTGAGGAAATATTCTCTGGATTGCACATTAGACCTGTGTGAAGCAGCAAGTATTCACTTCAGATTCAGCAGGACAGTGATTCGATTTGGAGAATTGAATCACTGCCCCGATTTGATTAAGCCAAAATGGGTCTGAGGATTCGGTGCTCCTTTGGAGATTCGGCCATAGACTAAATAGGCAGCAGTCCTCACCATGCTAGACACAGGTGCCTCCAACTGGTAAGTCTGTTGTGGTGGGTGGAGGGGGAAGGGAAGGGGAATGGGGGAAGGAGGGATTGGGGATGGGGTTGGGACAAGCTGTC